CTGCTGAAAATATTGCATGCAGAATAAATAAAACTATAGAATTAAATGGATAATACCATGGAGGAGAAAAGGATTTGTGAAAGAAAATAAAGTATTACAATGCATGGTTGCTTCAGAGTTCAGAATGAAGTGCTTCAAAGTTGTTTGATGACCCAAGTTGCCTGTATTTTTTTAATGATTTGAAGTCTGATTTTTCAGAACGACTGAGCAGTTGCAGTTGACCTTCAACTTGTGGGTACTTTTTACCTCTGAAAAGCTCATGAAGGTATGGAAGCAAGGTGACCAGGAAGTCTGCAGGTCTCGGGTTACAGAAATGTGAGGAATTACAATTGAGAATGAATTATCTGCTCTAGAGGACCTGGATGTGAGGATAATGAGTAAAATTCAACTTGGATAATGATTTGGAGGTGCAGATAATAAGACCGATAGGACAATAAGTTTCAGGACTGTAATTTTTTAATGGCTTGGTGATAGAGGGCCACTAGTCACTTCTCAAGTACGGCACAGTTGACTGGTTTGAAGTATTTATGTGTTCTCTTTTCCTGAAACATCTGGCTGATGACATTGTCAGAGACAGTGTATCAAATCTGATAGGACAGTAGCCAAATCTAACAAAACATCCATGAACATCTAGTCTAAGTACAGCATCTTCCGAAAGTTACTGTATCATTTCAGAGATATTTTTTTCCCTCCCTTTGAAGTGATACATCATTGGACTGACACCCTTCTGAAATTACCATTACATGTCTTATATAAAAGAACTTCTATGAAAGTTCTCGCTTATCAGTGCAGCTGCAGCACGTTACCCACCTCGATAGCTACGTTTCACTTCTGCTTTTGACTTTGTGTGTGCCTATGTTCATAGTCACCAATTCCGTCTTACCAAGTGGATCCTCTACCTTCTCTCTTCTACACCTCCTCCTTAGGAACTGTAAAATTTCTAAGATGCCAGCATATGACATCAAGGAAATTCAAATCTTTGGCATTGATTTCTTCTTTAGCTCACCTTATTTTAATTTGATGAGTCCGATAATAGTGTGGATTAACTGTCAGGGCAAGCTCATCTTACACAGAAAGCATCATTCAGCTTTAATTGGTTTAAATCTAAATGCCAGATTTTGAAATAGAAAGAGGAACCAAGCTTACTGTCTTAGTTTTATTTCAGCCTGTGGTGTCAATGTATTTATTTTGGATGATAAATGCATATAACATCATTTTTTTACTGTAATAGAAAAACTTTCTCCATCTCCTCAGTGTGAATCACTTCACATCATAGCATGTTGTAAGAAACCATAAAGCTGGCAAGATTTGAGTGTGTGTTGCTCAACATGTTATTCTGAATGCCACCCACTGTAGTAATCCATCTCCAAAACGGCTTAAAGGGAATAGCAAAAGATCACATCACTGTACATTATTCATTGGATGTTGTTTAGAGCAAGAAAAATTAAATACTGTATTCTTTCATTTGGGAAAGAGCCATATTATAACAGTGTCTTTTTTTTTTTTTTTTTTTTTTTTAAAAAACCCACAAAAAAATTTTAGAAAATTTTG